TTYCACTGYCCCAGGTTGCTCCAAGCTYYRTCCAACCTGGTCCTGAAGGAATCCTCAAAGAAAAAGCAGGGAAGTGGATGGATGGATGACAGGAATGTAACACTACTGCTGAGATGTTCCAGGGAGCAGGAATTTTTCCTCCTGATGCCCACTCGGGAACAGCACTTCCAGCTGCTCCCCCCCAGCCTCAGAGAAAGGGCAGCAATAAAAACCTGTGGTTTTTGTGATAATAACTGTGATTTCAGCAATAAATCTGATTTTTGCAATTTAAAGAAGATTTTAAACTCTCCCTGTTTGCAGTGCCTTTGCAGAGCTCTGGTGCAGGTGCAGGAAGAGACAGCCACAGATTCCAAGCAAGAATTCCCACACAGAGAAAAAGGGCAAGGAAACCCCTGACCCGCAACACCATGGAATTCCAGAMTTATTCAGGCTAGAAAAGATCTCCAGGATCATCGAGTCCAAGCTGTGCCCAAATACTGACACTGAGTGCCARGAATTGCTKGGACACCTCCAGGGATGGGGACTCCAAACCTCCCTGGGCCCTTCCAAGGMCTGAGCAACCTTTCYATGAGGAAATTCCTCCTGATRTCCAACCTGAACCTCCCCTGGCCCAGCCTGAGGCTGCTCCCTCTCATCCWGTCCCTTGTTCCCTAGGATAAAATCCCAAATTCCCYCTGGTGGCTCCCTCCTGCCAGGGAKTTGTGCAGAGCCAGAAAGTTCTCCAGGGACCTCAGGAGAAGGTGGAAGTGGATTTCTCCCATTACACAGAAGGTTTTCCCAAAGGGAAATTCCGAAAGGAGAATTTCCTGATTTGTCCCTATAAATAGCATGGAATTTTTTGGCTCTGTGCTAAAGACAGARCAGATAAATAAAGCTGGCACAACAGCCCTGCCATGTCTGGCAAGCTCCTCTGTCTTCTCAAGAGCTTTTCCAGAACTGACCATATCCACATGGATGTGACCGTGTCCATATTCTCTCTCCAGTCCCAAGACTTGGATCTCCTTCAGAGATTCCCTGATCTTCCTTTGATGGCAAAACCTTGGAAGGAGTCAGATTTTCCTCCTCCTTTCCATGCTGCCCAGCACCATGACAGCATCGGTGTTCAGAGGGTCCCACGGTCCACCCCTCTGGCTCTGCTGCTCCTGGTGGGAGAATTCCTYATCCCACTCCTCATCCCACAGCAGCCCAGATGTTCTGTCAGCAAGGTCAGGTGACAGACAAAGCATTCCCAGCCATTCACCTGTATCTGGGAATTCTTTGCAGCAATTCTGGGTGACCCTGGATCTCTGGGATTGTCACCTCCAGACTTCCACAAGGTGCTCCCTGTGACAGGACAAACCCCTGAGGGACATCCCAATTCCAGCAGGTTGTTTCCAGGTTATCCATGGTGTCCATCCCTATTTTCCCTCAATCCTGGAATCTTCCAGCTCCTCCAGTACAGCACAACAGATCCAGGTGGTCATTCCAGCATCTGCCATTCCAGCAGGATCACCTCTGCCTGCTCAAACAAAATTCCCAGGATTTTACAGGTGAAAGCGGCTCCTGCCCAAAAATCCTCACACTTTGGTGAAACATTCCTGCTGCCAGCTCCAGATCCAGCAAGATCTCAGCTGGGATCGGTGGATTTGGGATTCAAAGAGCTGAGGTCAAGAACAMACCACTGGGAATGTTCCAGTGACAYCAGAACACACAGGGGCCATGGCAGGATCTGTCCCARAGGGTTTTTGTCTCCAGGGAATGGTCCTGGAGCACATGGATAATGGGAACAGAGGCCAAATCCCAGCCTGA